CCCAAAATAAAATGAGAGAGAGGTTTACATGCAATCACTATACAAGTTCATTGTGGAGTTAACAATTTCCATATAGATACATAATGGGTTTTACAGTCTTCATATGGGCACAGAGTGTGGTTTACCTTACAACATGTATGAATTCAGTGTGTGGTTTAAAATCTCCATATGAAAAAGTTCAGTGTTTAAAATCTCCATATGAAAACAGTTCAGTGTTTAAAATCTCCATATGAAAATAGTTCAGCGTTTACAATCACCATATAAAACTGTTTAGTCATTACGATCACCATACAAATAACTTGTGATAGTTTTACATTAAAAAAAAAATCTCAACCGGAAGAGATAACTGTGTGGGCAGGACTATAAATCCTATGTGCAATATAATACCTGTGAACATACCTGCCTGTATGGATTCCACCATATATGAACAAAATTGATCACAAAACATTCGAAGCTTCTCTTTATTTTCTTCCACATTAATATTGTCTTCATCCTCCCCATTCCACTGTAATGTATACCTGAACAAAAATACATATTTTATTATACGGCTATAAAAGTTGTTATTCGCATTCAATAATAATTATTATTATTAGTATTATTATTATTATTATTCCTGTCAAGAATTCATAAAATACCCAAAGTTGTATACAGCTGAGTTTTCGCTAAGGGTGAAATATTTGTTATTCTCTAAACCAGTTACAATCTAGTTTTCGCATTTCAAAACAGGGAGAAGATAACAATATGAACCAGATTTAACCAGTTACAAGACAGTTATACGAATAAATCTTGTATGGCGGGGTGCTGTTAAATTTAATGAACAGATTATATACATTGACCCATATGTATAACTAACACACAAACATATTCTACATGCCCGGAGTAAAAATATGTCAAATATAATTGGATTTAATCAATATTGGGCCAAGCCCTTGCCCACAGTGATTCCTATACATGCAAATACTCTATCAAGGAAGTCAAGTTAAATATTATTAAAAAATATTAGCACATGTATTGATTCTTTAATAGGTGATGATGTTACTGTGCAACATGGTGTTACTATGAGCCAGGTGTACACAAAATGTTGTGTATTACAGACAGTATTTTCAGAATAATGGGGAACAAAAATATTAGAAATATTACAATTGGAAACGGAAAATCACACAACGATCCCACAGGGACGATAACAGGAAAATAAAATCCAATCACAATTACATGTACTGTCAAGGACCTATCACCTATATTTAAGTCCCTCAATCATGTAATGGATTTTCTATAAAAGATCAATTTTTACTGGTGTTTCATTTCACTTTTTTTGCTATTTTGAATGTAATCGCGGATATAATGCAATATAGAAAACGTCAAAACAGCAGCAACGCCAAATCAAAAATTAGGATATTTCATACTAAAGGCGAACATGTGACCACCCAGCAGCATATATATGCGTGCACTGACATCAACACCAATTAGCAATATAACTAGCTCTGTCCATGCAGTGATCATCCATAGTAGAGCTACATGTAACAATGTAGTTATCATGCTGTGTTTATTAATATTATTAATGCTAGCAGGCATTATCATTGGAGTAGACACATACCTAAGGGATGTACCAATTATTATTTCCAGGAATTATTATATATTATATTAGTAGAACTGAAGGGATGAACCAATATTATTGCTGGGAATTATTATAAGATGAATAAAACTAAAGGGGTGAACCAATATTATTGTTGGGAATTATTATAAGATGAGTAAAACTAAAGGGGTGAACCAATATTATTGCTGGGAATTATTATAAGATGAATAAAACTAAAGGGGTGAACCAATATTATTGTTGGGAATTATTATAAGATGAATAAAACTAAAGGGGTGAACCAATATTATTGTTGGGAATTATTATAAGATGAATAAAACTAAAGGGGTGAACCAATATTATTGTTGGGAATTATTATAAGATGAAAAAAAAACTAAAGGGATGAACCAATAATAATGATGAAAGAGGCATTAGGCCAAAAAAAAAAATTGTTTTGTTGCCCTCAGCCAGCGACCGGAAAATATAAAATATCGGGTCGCGTTTTTTTCCCCATATACCTCGGTTATTTACCCTTAGTTTTCACGAGTTTAAAAAAAAAATCAGACCGACCGACCCAATTTTTCAATTTTCCCGACTTCAGGGCAACATAAGTTTTTTTTTTTTTTTTGCCTTATAAGAAGAGTCGAGCTATTGAGGGATAAACCAATATAAATTCTGGGAATTATTTTAATGTGAGTAAAATAATTGAAGGGATGAACCAATTTCGTCCCCAAAATAGCCACCAGACCCTCATTTATTGCAATTTAACTTACCTACTGATGTTTTTTGATGGAATTATCTCCTCAATTCCCTTTTTAAGTCTTTCTAACTTTCTTTGAGCTTCAAAATCCACTCGCTTGCCATCTTTATCAATGTATTTGTAAGACATAGGATGGTGTTCATCAAATCCATGCAGTGAACGCATGAAAAAATAATGTCTGTGTTGGTCTTCATTAATGGAATCGTCATCGAGAGCACCTTGGAACTCCACTGAAATTGACAAGTGATTGATTGATTTAGTTTATTAATGCATTATAATCAACCACGTCCAGTCAAACAGAAGGATATGTGGATCTCAACTACATTTTGTAGTTACTTAATCTCGGCCAGTGTTTATAGCCCATGGCATACTACATGAAGATATAATTGGAATTTCTGATTCTGAGCTTGTAGCAGTAACAAGTACCAATATTTTGAAATCAATATCCTATTTCCCTTAAACGACTCCTGTAATAATGTCATTGAAAATATTAAATAGATTACGAAACACAAAATGATCAAATTTACAATAATTATATATTGTATATACTGGGTACTTACTTTCAGTAATTGAAATATTGAACTCTTGATATTTTTTGCTTGCTAATTGGACCTGATTAGCGGCCTTTCTCAATGCTAATTGCATATCTTCACTGTCTTTGTGCCATGATTCAATATCCTTCTTATCACCAATCAGATATCCCGGGTATTTATAAGAAACTGGTTGTAAGATGTACTCAGATACTGAAATGATACGAAAACTGCATCAGAACGTTTTTTTTTAGTATCAGTATTCTACCAAAGAGTTTGCAGCAACGGCAACTAATTAACATAAAGTTGGTGGGAAATGTGACAAAATGAGTCGATGTTCATGGTTGATAATTCTTCTTTGTCACTTAATTAATTCCTCTAAGTTACAGTTTAGTTAACAAAATTTAATCTGACAGCAAAAATATTAAAAAGGGCACTAATACTAAAAAGGGCACTGTAGCAATTATACTTTACAAGGCGTTCTTCCTGAAAAATATCAATGGGATATATTATCATCGCTTTTGTCTGTCATTATTATACTAATATTGTTCAGGCAACAAATTAACGCACAGGGGAGAAAAAAGGCTCAGAGCTTACCCACATTGTTGGTGTCCAATAGATACCATTGTTTGAGTAAACTGATTATTCTGGTGTCTTCGGTGTCTTTGCTAGGTACACTCTCAAGATAATTGATTAACTTCTCAAAAATGCTTTTCTCTATACTGCTTGGAATTGGCTGGAATCCATACTTATTTCCAACAATTCCAACAAAATATGGACCAACAGAGTTCTGTCTGATAATAGAGACAATGGAATCCCATTTATGACACAAACACAAGAGCATGTACATGAACCAATAATTTATTTGGCAAATAGGGGGGCACACCACAAGACCATCGTACACAAAAGTGAGACAATGCATAACAGACTGATAAGATGGTCCCTGGTGCCGCCCCCAAAATGTAGAACAAAGCAGGTGTAAACTAGCTGGCTTACAGTTTCTAAACTAAAATACAAACTAGAATAAGACTGAAAACATGTTGGTTGGTGCAGCATAGCTGCATGATGTTAGTATGGAATGGCAGATTGCAGCATGACTGCAACTGTAAAGTATAGGCAGCGAGTGCTGCGGCTACACCGTGGTTATGCAGCGGGGGCTGCATGAAGTTAAGAGGTTATGGGTAGAGGCAGCGGGGGCTGCAACTACTGAGTTTAGACATTGACGCAGCGAGGGCTGCCTGTGAAGTCGTTAATGAGGTATTAGTAATTACAATAATAAAATTAACACTAATAATAAAACCCACGCAAAATATACCTAAGAAAATATGAATGATCTTGGGGGAATATGAGCTAATCCCATAAGCGAAGTCCCCGAAATGATGCAATTGTTTCAATTGCAGAATAACCCCCAAGATATAAAGGATGGTAGGAAAACATGAAAATGTAAACATTACTAGAAACTCCGTGAATTACAATGTATTAAACTTTGTTAACTAATGCTTATTTATTTATAGAAAACGTATGCCATTCAGAAACACATACCGGTACATAAATTTAGTCTGTCATGAATAATCATAATTAGCATAATGAATTAATAGATTGATACAAAATATATATATCATATTTG